AGGCGGCGAGGGCGATAAATTATAGGAGAACCCGCTGTTCGGATATGATAAACAACATCATGCAGCGGTGTAGAAATACTAAAGGTAGGACACGTGAGACCAGGATATCTCACAAGAAGTTTGCAAAATGGACTACAAGGATCTGTGTCCAAGACGACGAGTTTGCGGGACACTTCAGATAAAAGAATACCTAGGACGTTGAGCTTCGTGGTCTGGTCGAGTAAACGGGACTGACGGCAGTCAACAATAAGATCGAAATCGGCGAGAAAGTCTGCACACAGTGTAGCATATGGTACGTCAGAAATTACAAACACTCAAGGGAAAAGACGCCGTAAACCGATGTCCAACGAGAGGGAACAGGTACCGAATGTGGCAATAGGTTAGGTGTTGACGGCCCGAACAAAGAAACCAGGGTTGGGAGACCGGCTTTTGAAGTAAAAATAACAGTCAACTGAGCGCCAGTGTCATCCAAGAAACTCATGCGACATTTGCTGTCGTAGACGTAAAAGGTGCGGCCGGGTTTAGAAACCAAACGAGGTTTGATAGAATTAACCTCCTTCCTACTCAGAAAACTTTCGCTAAGGCAGAACCACAACGTCTTATAGAATAAAACGAATAAGAGGCTAATATATTAATTTTGAAACAATTTATCTGGGCAAATTCCATCCTTCGTTTGTTAAGTCAGTTTTAATACGCCCTTTTAGTTGCGGCGTCTTTGCTTTATTTTTTGGTCGGTTGTCCGCCGTCCTGATCTCGGTGTCTGTTCGCTCTTGCGACAGAAAAGTTTATTTTCCGCTAATTTAAACATGCCATGGTGGACCGGAGATCTGAAGTGCGCACATGGCAAAACAAACGTTAGTCTTTTTACTTTTCTCATTCAATCAAAACCTTAGTATATAACTTACAATGTCAAGCTCCCAAGCCAATACCAGTCATCTGCACTAAGCCCTTACAAAATCGCCCGGAACAATATGGTGACGCGTACCATGGTCCATTAAGCAGACAAGCGGCAGAGGA